TGCTTAGTTACAGAATCCGCGTGTAACATTCCGTTTTGGCGATGTAATTACGATACTTTCCGCAACGAAAACGAAGCGAGTTTTGTTACATCCAGATGTATGCATATTTTTTCTTTTTTTTTTCCAAAAAAGAGCTGTGTGATGAGCTAAATGATAGCTGTGAAGTAGCATCACCACCTCGTCGTAAACACTGCTACTCGCTGATCGTGAAGGTGTTCTTCTCCAACTAGAAACGACTTTTAATTGTTTTTTTTTTTGAAATTTTCAGAAATAGATTTTTTTAATGAATTTCTTAATTGGCATTTTATGGAAAATGCCCTTACTTTTTATTTTCAGTGAAAAAATTATTGAAAATTTTCGCTTTATGCGTTCTCTTTGTTTTTTTTTTTCCATTCTAATCAAACGCACCGCACTTGTTCCAAAAAAAATATGTTCATGTGACCCATCTTTCGAAGATTTAGTGGTTCAGTTTAGCACTTTTTTTTCTTTCAGATACTTCGACGTATCGAGTTGCGTGGCTCTCCACTGCACTGGGATATGGGAATATCTTCAATCAAAGGCATTCTATCTTTATACGATAATGTCTACGAATTGAACGTATGCTGTCTTTTTTGGTCAAATATTCAAAAAACGAGAATACAGTTGCTTTTACTTTTTCTTCAGTTGCCCTGTAGTTTCGGAAGAAAATATAATAAAAAGTCGTTTAATAGTCCATATTTTTAGCCTGATCCGGCAACAAAAGAGAAATGCGAGCTAGAACCTTGCTTTGGAAAACTGGATCCAGAGAAGTTTGCTGGAGCATTAACAAAAGTAATTTTCACCCTTGAATTTTTGACAAGTTAATTTGAAAGTTAAACTTATCCTTTTTGTCTGACCTGTCTTTTTTTTTTATCCCTAGCACTCTTCATTTTTACATTTCACTATTTATAAAAAACAAAAACACGCCAAAATAAGTGAACTTTGACAAAAGTCTGTATTTAATGCCACCTTTACCTCAAAGGAATTGCCTGATAAAAAAATGTTATGCATTTTTTTGATGTAGTAGTGATCCTTCATTTGTTTTGAAAATTTATCTTTGTTTTTTTTCAGAAGAATTTAGAATTTTCTCGCGAAGATATTGATGGGAAAACGCTTTTTACGCTGGTCAGTTCTTTTAAATTTTTCAGGAAATTAAAAAGCATAATTTGTCTTTGTACACGAAATGACATGAATTTTTCAGATTAGTATTAATTGGATTTATGTTATAAATTTCTAAATTTGGCACTTTTCGAGATTTTAGTTTTAAGAAAAAATTGTTTTTCCAGAAGACTCTTGGTGCTACGGTGCGTCTCGAGAAAGGAGGTCTGCGAACAGTAATGAATTGCACGAATCCTGAAAATCGTCGATTGTTAGCGGAAGCTATCACAGTGTGCTTGAAAAAATTATGAATTCGGATTGATTACTTTGGGTTTTACGTTCAAGTTTGTCAGTCGTATCATTCCGATAATGGATTTAGGAGAGTAAAATGGAGGGACAGGTTGGAGTTTGAGTGTTAGAATCGGCTTTTACTAGTACAGCTTCCTCATAATAATACAGCCTCCTATCCGCCATGTACTGAGTAGTCATGTAACTGATTTGCAAGACGTAAGCTCAGGATCAGAGGACTAAGATAAATCGGGTATGTAAGTGCACTTTATCACTAATACCAGCAGTGGATCTTCACAGAATTTGTTCGGATGGTTTTTGCAGTAGTATTGTTTGAATTAATCCTGATGTAAATCCTTTCTGCATAATATTGTACATACATGTGTGCTTTGTTATATTTGAAAACTAATTTTTTTTTAATTTTTTTGGCGCTAAATTTTAAATTTTTAAATTTTTTTTGGCTGTAAATTCGGCGCCAGATTTGTTTTTTCTGTTGTACAAAGTTGTTTGTTCTCATTCATACGGGAAAGGAAATTGTGCAGTCATGTAATAAACTTCAATTACACGATGTTCGAGCAGTGCAGTACAGTTAAGTTTTGCAGAAAAAAAAGGTTTTTTTGGTATGCAAGTAAATCTACGGAATTCATAAAACAAAATAAAGCCAGAAAAAACCCAAGCTGGAACGCACCAGGCGAGCCGGTGCGATCATGCGTTTTTGCATCAAAACTTTGAGG